ATCAGCAACATTTTACTAGTTAGCCACTTTTTGATATCTTTCACAGAAAATGAGATATATAGGCTCAAAGTGGACGATCCGGGTGTCGTTCTATTAAAGGTTTTACGGTATATACAGTAAAATACATGTGTTAAAAATATGGATCATAGCCAGTAGCGAGAAATAGATGAATCAAGGAGATTTTCAAATTGGGACGGCGTGAGGAATTGGGGTACATTTGGCATTCCAAAATGGGATGGTGGATGCAAAAAAATCATTGATATGGGGATTGAGGCAAATTAAAGTCATAGGGCGACGGGCAGAGTTAGATAAGCGGAAATGAGATTCAGGGTGGGGAATGTAAGAAGTGAGGTTGATTATTTTGTACACTTATCATACATAAAATTAAAATGTGGCTTTTCATAAAACATTGAAACAGAAATTCCTCTTACAGTGTCCAAATGGTGTTCATGGTGGAAAATATTCCAAGAAATCACAGAATGTGGATTCAGAATTCCATCACTTGGTCCCCAAATCTCATCCTTTTCCCATTTGTTGCATGGCTTTGTGAGGATTGGAGAACCATGTCAAAAGTCATTGCAGCTGCTTCAATGGCCACATTTGCAGCCGTTTAGTGAGTTTCGAATCATTTTTAATTGGTTTCTTAACATTTATTTTGAAAAGACCGTTAAAAACATGATTATTTTGAAATCGTAAAATTAGTTTTTTTTTGCATTTGATGAAATCGAAAATAAAGTTTTTTTTTGAAAATCGATGTTTTGAATTTCCAGCATTCTCCAAGAATCTCCTCGTTGGCTCATCCAAAAAGGACGTGTTGAAGATGCTCGGCGAGCACTTGTGAAAATCCGAAAAACCGATAAATTATACGATGAAACAACCGAGAAACAACTCGACGAAATTCTTCGAATCGAAATGGAGAAACATGTGAAAAAGTCGAAAAAAGCTAAAAAATACACATTTATTCATTTATTCTGCACATGGAAAATGATGGTTCAATCGTTAACGTTTATCACTGGAATGTGGGTTTTTTCACTGTTTCAAAAACCTATTTTTCAAGTTTTCTGTGTTTTTCAAACCGTTTTGTTACGGCAACTGTCAATAAGTTTCTCAAAAACTATTCGAAAAATTTCCCTTTTTCAGAATGTGCACAACATTTATTGTCTACTCACTCATGTATAATATGGAAAAGTTATCCGGATCGCTTTATTGGAATTTGGCTATTATGGGAGTGAGTTTGTTGATGTTGTATGTCTAAAATTGAGAAAAAATTATAAGGTTGAAATTGACCAATATTTGAAACAGCAAATTTTCTCGACATTTCTACAAAAACCAACTGATTGAAAAAATGAAACATGTTCTAAATTAATTATTTCGAGTTGAGTTATGCGCTTTCCAGTAGTTGAAAGGCGCTTCTAATACAGGTTCATCCTCAGCTCTCATTTCCAGGCCGCCCGTTGGATCATCAACATTCTGGTGAGTCTTGCAGATTACTATCTCCCGTGGTTCGGACGTAAACTAATCAATCACATCGCAATGATTTGTACAATTTTGGCACTTTTCGTAATGGCTGTTTATCTATTTTTGGGATACGTTGGTGGACAATTGATGTCAATTGGAACCGTTGCGGCAGTTGCAATGTGTTCTCAATTGTTTATTGCCAAGTATATGATGGTCAATGAATTGTATCCAACTGCTGTTCGAAATCTCGCCGTTTCGGCGGTGAGCACAATGAGCAGAATTGGATCCATGTTCTCGCCGCAGTTATTTTATTTGGTGAGTTTTCTTTGGTTTAGCCAACAAGTTTAAACAACAGGAAGTGTTTAGATGCACGAAGGAACAGAAAAACTGAAAAAAAAATTTTCCGAAATTTTCGAAACAGTAATTTTTTGTTACGAATACTACAAAATTTCACTACAAATTGCACTACAAAATTTTTCATTTTTCACAACATTTTTCTGGAAAATCGTTTAATTTTTTGAAATTGGAATTTTACCTCCCAAGTTTTTTTAGTCCAATGATTATTGACTTTTGACTAGTCAGAAAAACACAAAACACCTGTTTTCTAAAACTTTTGGAACATTAATTTTACTACTGTTTCACAATATTTTCTGAAAGCTTCTGATTCTTCAGTCAAACCATTAGAAAGGAAATTGAACTTATGGCCAAATATTTCACTTTGCTGAGCTTCGCGGTAAGATTGGGTTACTGTAGTCAGTGTGAACACTGATTACTGGACACCGTCACGCTGATATGCATACTTTCGCAAAAAAAAATCTCAACTAACACATATTTTTCTTCCAAAAATACTGAAAACGTTTTTCAGAGTGAATACTCGGAATGGATTCCATACGTCGTCCTTTTCGCCTGTCAATTCTACGATTGGATTATAATGTGGTGTTTCCTTCCAGAAACCAAAGGAGTCGTTTTGGAGAATCATCTACCTCCAAAGCATAAAAGAATCTTCAAAAATCGCACGGAAACTGTTGATAATTGAGAGAAATTGTATTTTGAAATTGTGTTTTTGTAAATTCCATTTTCTTTTGTATAATTTTGTAGTCAACTATAAACCTTATAAAATTTTTGGGACCCATAGCGGTGACCCATAAGGTTCAGGTGGTTTCATTTTCTTGTGTAGCGGTTAAATAACATCCCATAATTGGGTGAAGTTCATTTATTCATCAAAACGGCACCGCGCCTTGTTCAAAGTGCCCTTGGAACACCTCACCCGTGCCCCTAGCGCGCGTAAGGCGTGCCGCTACCGTGTCGGTGCCGTGTCCCTTCTTGAACCATCTGCGCATCGCCTGTCTATTCATTGAGTTTCGAAAATGATTAGCAAGACGTCGGACCGCGGAGTGATAATGAAGATTGAGAAATTAGTTTCCGACGAGCAGCGAGGAATATTTCAAATGAAAAATGTAAGTTTGGGGGGGGGGCAATATGTGAAAGACGGAGCATTGTTGTTTGAAAATAACAAAGTTCAAAAATATTTGAAACAATAGTGTTAGTTCCAATTTTTCAGGTTAGAGACACACAGCCAAGCCCAATCAATAAAGCTGGAGAAGAGGAGGAAGACGTTTCATCAAAATTAATCAACTTCATCATCACACCCTACAAATTTTAATTTGCTCATCTTTTGAATGTTCTAATTTTTTGTTGAGTTTCTATTTAATCTAATAAACTGTTTGATAAAAGGAAAATCGATTAATTCACCCGATTTCAAGAAAAAAAATTCAAAAAACGACACACATGAGCACGGATACGGCACGGTAACGGCACGCAAAACGCATGCGTGCTCCGACCCCCCGGGCAGAGGGTACGATGAATTCGAACTTTCCCGAAATCGAACTGTCCCCAAATCGAACTCGTTCGAATTAGAACTGTCCCTTTTTCGAACACGCTCAGAACAGAACAAAAACAGAATCGAACTGCTACCAATTCGAACTGTGCGGTGTTGAACTGTCCCGGATTGGAACTCTGTTAGCAACAGGGCGCGCTTGCTTTTTTAATTATTTTTGTGAACAAATTTTGCATGTTTTCTCCAGAAAAGAACTTTTTCACTTATTTTGGATGTTTTGCGGATTTCTCTTCCCGTTTCGAGAATATAAACTTTTACAGAAAATGGCTCCTCGTAAAAACAAGCCAATCGTCCAAGTTCAAGGATATGCAATGCGATTCAAAAAAATGAACCAAAATGGAACAGAGCTTTTTTACTGTGTCGAGCGGTAAAAAATTGCAGCGTTACTATAAAACAACATTTTTTTCCAGAGAAAGAGGAGCTCGATGTGATGCAGCTTATCATTTCGACAGAATGAACAACACGTTCACTGTTAAAAAGCAAAATGTGAGACACGACGTGGATTTTGTCAGAAGTGAAGTTAGTATCAATCTATAGAATGTAACAGAATAGTCGTCACAGCAAACGATTTTTCTTCAGGCATTCCTCGTGCGCCAGGAATTGAAAAAATGTGCGAATGATGGAAAACCCCGTGAAGTGGTTGATGAGGTTCGAGCCAAGTTCTCTCCAGTTGCTTCAGTTGCTTGCGGTTAGTACACAACATCATAAAGTGTCTTATAAACAATTACATATTTTTCTCCTATGACGCAAAGCGAAAGAGATGCATACAAAGATGGATTGGAATGAGTTGAAACTAAATCCGAATTTCCAGGTCTGTTTCTACTCTTGAAAACCTAAATTGATTTTTTACTACACTTCAGGTCAATCAAAACAGAACACTCACCAACGCATTGAAGGACGGGAGACTCATCAAGACGCTAATAAATCAGTCAATCCCGCCAAATATGCCTTTGACTGGTCTCAATTTATTAGACGCCATCTCGGACGCCCATTCTGTTTAAAAGTCATGAAATCTTTCTTTTTTTAACAAACATTTTCTATTTTCAAATTGTCTTTTTCTCACTGTATTCAAATAAAAATGTTTTTTGTTGTTGTAAAAATGATGTTTTTTCTGGAGAAAACTTGAAATTTTCAAAGGTAATGCAAGCGCGCTCTGTTGCTAACAGAGTTCCAATTCGGGACAGTTCGACATCGAATCAGTTCGAGTTGGAACAGTTCGATTCCGTTCTTGTTCTGTTCTGGGCGTGTTCGAAAAAGGGACAGTTCTAATTCGAACGAGTTCGATTTCGGGAAAGTTCGAATTCATCGTACCCTCCCCGGGCACGATTACCGCGTTGCAGCGGCACCGGTGCCCCACCTAATTACGGTCTAATTACTAGGCGGCCCGTTTTGTGTTCTCAATTGTTTATTGCCAAGTATATGATGGTCAATGAATTGTATCTAATGTATTCTGTTCGAAATCTTGCCATTTCGGCGGTGAGCACAATGAGCAGAATTTTAAAAACAACAAAACATTTTTTAAAAACAAAATTTGAAACAGTGTTTTTAAGTAAAATTTCTGCAACTACGAAAACCTATTTATGGTTTTCTCAGCTTCTTGGTAAGCAAAAAAAATCGAAATTCAAAAAATAATATCAGCGGTGCACCGGCGGCGTCAATGAGGTGGTGGCCTAACTTTTGCAAGTTGGGTTTTCTAGGCCACCACTTCAAAATGGACTAGAAATGCCCTAACATGATCCTGGTATGTTTTCTAGGTCATTTTGAAGCGGTGGCCTAACTTTGCAAATAAGGTTTTTTAGGTCACCAACTTTTTTGGCCTAAAAATGACCTGGTATTCATTTGTTGTCATTTCAAGTACATTTTAAAGTTTTGGCCTAACTTTTGCAGGGGTTAGGTTTTCTAGGCCACCACTTAGGTTTTCTAGGCCACCACTTCGAAATGACCTAGAAAACACACGCATCCCAGGCCATTTCTAGGCCATTTTAACGTGGTGGCCTAGAAAACAAAACTTGCAAACGTTAGGCAACCACTTTGAAATAGCCTAAAAACATTCCAGGTGATTATCTCAACATTTCAATACGGTGGCCTATAAAAATCACGTTGAGAAAATAGGGCCACGCCACGAAACTCTTTCTCAAAAAAACCAATTATGCCGCCGGTGCACACCGGTTTCGGTTTGAAACCGTCGTCGCGCCGGAAACTGCGGTTTACTCAAACCGGTCGCACCGGTCTCGGACGGCGCCGTTTCGAACCGGCGGCGGCGGAGCGTGCCGGTCGACGCCGCGCGGTGTGAGACCGGCAAACCGCCGGAATCCGCACCGGCGCGTTACTCTACTCCATAATGCAAGTGCCCAATTTTCAGAAAAACGCAAAAACAATTTTTTTTGAAACTTTTGAAATTGTACTTTTTTGTTGTTTCGAAAAATCCTGGTTCCACAATTTTTTTTCTGAAATATCACTAAACTTTTTGAAAATAAAATTGAAGGTGCCAAGTTTCAATCAGCTTCTTTTCTTCTTATCGCGCTGCTTATCGAACTTAATAGTCTTATCGAACTTATCGAACTTAATAGTCAGAAAAGGATCAGAAAACTTTTCTAAAATTTTTGAAACCTAAATTTTATTTCCGAAATGGAACAAATGGCCAAAGTATTAAAGGAGGCGAGACAGTCAAAATTTCGGGGGACAGTTCGGGGGACGAAATCGCGCCGCGCTTATGTAGACCATCGGTCGTCAGGCGCCTTCGCGCCCCCGTAGCTCAGCCGGTAGCGGCGCTGTACCCCTGAGCGGCCTGTCATGAGTTCAACCCCTCATGGGGGTTCTCTTTGCAAAATATCAGGAAAACTTTTTTTGGTGTCTGGCCTCCTTTAAGAGTGTGAGCTACGCTGTATGATTGGGATACGGTAGGCAGTATAAAGATACGGTAGGCAGTATAAAACACTGTACACTGTTACGCAAATATGCATACTCTGAAAATCACAAGTTTTTCCTTTAAAAAATGCAAAAATATTTTGAGCGACTATTCGGAATAGATCCCATACGTCGTCCTTTTCGCCTGTCAATTCTACGATTGGATCAAAATGTGGTGTTTCCTTCCAGAAACCAAAGGAATCGTTTTGGAGACTCATCTACCTCCAAAGCATAAAAGAATCTTCAAAAATCCCACAGAAACTGTTAAAGGGGGACTCCGACCAAAAATTTTTATTGCCTTAAAATGTTTCAAAAATATGTATTTTCCTAATATTATTGCGAAAAAATTCAAAAAAAAAAATCCTAAATCCCCTAAAACGGCGTTGAAAAAAAATAGGATTTGAATTCCCGAGCAGTGAGAAACCTAGTCCACGGCATCGCCTTTCTTACATGGAAATTTTTCCGGATTTTTTCGGTTTTTATGTCCGACAGGTAGAAAACGTAAAAAACCACTGTCGGCCACTTGAAAAAATGGCTATCAGGCGCCGTGGCCTAGGTTTCTTACTGCGCGGGAATTCAAATCCTCGTCCATTTCTCAACTTTTTTTGAAAATTTTTCGCTTTTAACGGCATTTTTCGGGGATTTCGGATTTTTTTCGAATTTTTCCGCTATAATATTGGAAA